TCTAAGTATTAAATATGACATGGAAGAAACTTCAAATTAACCAGATTTAATATGGTTGCAGCCCTGTTCCCAGAATTCCCCTCCACTTGAAAAGGGACAACAAAAAACAAAAGGAATACGTGCCAATATTATTGTAGAAGTTGGTAAATAAAGTTTCCCCTTTGTTTGTTCACGGTAAGTTAAGCCTCCCGTTAGAGAGGTCATTATTTTGTAATGGGAAAATTAATTTTTCACTACAAGTACTAAAAGAAACCCACAGGAAGGCCAAAAGAGAAGTGTGGAATACAAACCAACCTACAAGAAATCAACTTTTGGTAAATACAAATGTTAAGAAACGATTTCGAATTACGACCCCATGGGGAGGCATTACAGTGTGTCCACCATATCCACACATCCTCCCGCAACCCATCTACCCTCAGAACCATTCTTATGTTTATTTTCGTCAAAATAAACCACAGTACAACAAAGAAGCCCATAGACAGACATTGAACTATAAAAATTTAAAGGAAAATGAGTAGCCAATTTCAAAAGGATAGAAAATGAAAGTTAAAACAGTTTGGGCTAATACCGTGAATGTTATCCCAATTTGCTATATAATTGAATGAAAAATTACTTGCTACTTTTATTAGGATAAGTAGTTCAATTATTGGTAATATAATGCTTTTTGGACAGAAAAGGGAGGAATTAAGGGCACAGCTTATAGGGACTGCAGAATCACAAATTGCAACAAAAAGTGACCTTACCACATTTGCAGCCACTGTATCATTTACAGTTTTGCTATCAAAGCTTCCATGGCTGATGATAGAAAGTGCAAGTTAGTTAGGACAGAGAAGAAGAAACATAATAACGCAAGTATAAAGTTAAAAACTAACACAGAAGTCAGGGCATGTAGTAGAGCTTTTTACTGAAGCCCTTGGACATTCTACTAGTGATTATTGTTATACAATAATGTATAAGCTTCACATAAGCTTGTAATCAACCATTTCAATAATAAAGATGTGCTAAGTAGTGCAGATGACCTTTGTGCAGATGGATAACCAATCGTGTTGTAAGCAGAATTACCCATTCCAGACATGTGAGTGCTGCCAAGACCTGCTAGTGCCCAAGCGTGCAAAACATGTGCAAAATGAGCTTTTAGAATAATGTGTCCCCTGCGTGGCTAATCAATTACTTCTTACCCCAAGAGGTTGTACAGGTAGCACATAATCATCCTCAAATCAGAGAGGACAGGTTTATACATTAAAAGTAATCATGATAATACTCGTAAGTGGTATCAAAAGGACAAAAAATTTATTTAATTAATTAATTTTTGAAAAAGCTTGTATAAGAAAGAGTTTACAGGCAGAAAAGGAGTCAAGCAATCAACTTACCAGGATCAGGAGTGCTCCTTGAAAAGATAGATACTTTAGCTTTCTTATCCGATCCATATCTTTCATCCTCTAACCATTCCATGAACACATGACGAAAAATTTCAAACTAGTTATACCACTGTAGAAAATAGAAATTGAAATATAAATTCATAAGAGGACAGCCATCAAGATATGTACCTGTCCTCGTCCGTTTTGATCTTGAATTGGATTTAGCTAAATCAACATATAGTACTGACTGCTTCTCAAGATCAAACACCATCCCCTACAACAAAGAGCAACCAATTGTTTTAATGTGAGACACTACCTAGAGTAGAAATCTTTTTATACCAATGCTTGGAATACCTTAAGTAGCGCACTTTTAGAACAGCTATTCTATAGAGGAATAAGTAGAGAGTGAGAAAGCATAAGAGGCAAAAGAAAGCCCAGCAGAAAAATGGTAATCCAGGAATTGGTAACTGTTTAGTGTTATAGCAGCAACAATAGCTGTCTACCTTATCCGTCAGGTCAATGAATGACTCAAATCGAGCTCAAGGTTCAGGATCCCAAAGAAATTTAGTGTACCTCACGAGTTCCCCAAACCCTAACAGTTTAGTGTTACAGCAGCAATGATAGCTGTCCAGCGTCCACCTTATTTTTAAGGTCAATGAATGACGAACAATGCATAAGGTACTATAGTAAATCAAACTCAGGGTTTTAAACAAATTTGATATATGGAAAGAGTTCCCTGATATTGTAACGTCATTACTTCAATGAATTTGTTTGGAGGATTAGATTACAAGAGGAGAATGTTTTGATTCTATATACTTGGCTTTGCTTTGGCAGCTCCCTTCAGAAAGCTACAGAAGTTTGAAGCTCTTCTAGCTGTTAATAAGAAATTCAGAAATAAATGCTTTTCTATATTGCACGATAGTTCTCATGATAGTTTTCCTTGCTGATCTGATTTAAGATGGGGTGAGCTTATCCTCCAAGGCAGGGCTAATTTCTTCTTCCACGTTCATTTTGTGTACTTCCTTTGATCATTGAAATGATTTTCTTAATGAAAGAATTTGGAATACTGAAGCAGGGAACAAGTACTTACATTTACGGCATGCATTGCACCTACGGCAGACTGCTGGTCCGAGAATACAGCAAATGCAAATGGCTGTAACCACACCAAAAAAATTGTAAGAAAAAACCATGCATGATGCTAATCAATAAAATATATGCTCTACCATCAACACAAGCGATGATAGGAATGCTGTATGCATAAGATATTTCGTGAGAGAATGGAAAATGAATAGAAAAGGCTTTTACAAGTTACAGTGATAGTCATAGGCACTCGGTACACATATCTGAAGGGTACTTGCATAAATATGCGACAACTTATTGCACCAATGTAGATTGTTGGTTGAGAATATAGAAAGTTGGTAAATTTCCTTTACAAACAAAGGTCCGCAAGCTTTCAATATTAACTAGATTTGAAACTAACAATTAGCATAATATTTGTTAGTTGTAAACGTGGGATATTAATATCTCAGTTTATGGTCTCCAAAGCACTTGGGATAGCATTTGTTAGTTGAAAACAAAAGTCCCCAAGCTTTCGTATGACCACTATGACCATCCCAGAACCTGAGATTACATCGACTAACTTGAGAACCCTTAAACATGGATACTAATAACACAAACCAAGCCTGTCTAGGCATTGCAAAAAAAGTTTGCTGCCCTGACATTAAAACACATCTGTCTAAAGTACAAGTCACTATCATCCAATTAAATAGTACAAAAGAAAGCAACATAGAATATTATTACACGTGTAACGTCGTGATCTAAATGTGCATTGGAAGTTACTGAGCAAGATTTTTAACCAAAGAAATTCTAGCAAAAAGGTTTAGATTGGTCAAAGTTGAATTCGTATTGCAAAGACTAAGGAATTTTTCATGCATAAAAATGACACCGACCAAGTCATATTTGTTGTCCAGGACATGAAAAACTCTCTGCTACTTCTTGGCTAAGGCAGATAAGTGGAAGGTCACGGCTCCTGTAGTCCTTGACAGGTAAAGTGATTTCATTGAAGAAGGGTTTCACAAACATTGTGAAAGGAGCAGAGCAAAAGCTATAGTTCCAAACATGACAAAGGTGCTCATGCTCCATAGCATTGTGGAATGGTGATGAGTGAAAGGGGTTAATGTTAAAAAGTTGCATGCCACTAAAATTTAGTAGGCCAATCGAGCCACATAAGGACCAGATTGCACATTTGCATTGGTATTAGGCTATTGGCAACCGTATTGGCACCAATATTGATACTGACATTTCCTTTAGAGTATGACACAGCACATTTATAGTTTATTTAACAAATCTCAGAGTAGGCATTTGAGTGTTTCCATGCCATGTTGAATTACGTCTTGAGAATTAGGTTTATTTCATTTTTTTTTTTTTTTTCATTAGAAATGTGGTTTACCTTATTAAATTTTTGTTTCTTACTTTTTGATCGGTCCAGTTGCATGGTCGTGTCATGACAGGTGTTAAGCAAACTTGTAGGGCATTAAATTCTAGCTAGATGGCTACCATGGATTCATCCCAAGCCTTCCCTAAATAACATTAACATACTTGGTCAAGATGAATTATAATGAGCCAAAATAAACCAGGTCCAAGTTAATTACGTATAACAATTATAATCTTGAACTTCTTCAAGAACCTGAAACGTACAGTAACCAAACCAGAATCGTCTACGAACCGGTGTTTAATCTCCATCTTTGATACTAAAGCAACTAATGTCCACGAGTTAACTCAGACGTCAGACTCTAGAAGCTAAGAGTATTTACATATGTAAGCATCCAGGCACCCAAATTAAGTGACTATTCTCATTCAGAATAAAAAGAAAATGCTACGAGAATCAACAATTTTGCAAATTAGAAAAACAAAGTACAACACCTGGGTCGTCTGCGTGGGGCTCCGAAGATGAGAGGACTCGTAGCCCGGAAACTCCCGGAAGAGATTGTAAATTTCTCGGGGCTTGACATCGTCAGGAAGGCCAGCTATGAATAGGGTTCGGACCTCATTAATGGAGGCTGCGTGAGGTAAAAAAGGTAAGCCATAGGAAGCGAAGGTTGGCGGGTGTTGAGCGAGGTAATGCTGAGACGACGGTGCTGAAGAAGGAGGAGGAGGCACCTGGTAATAGGGATAGTGAGGCGCCTCAAGACCAGAAGGCTGCGACGGTGGTTGCGGTTGCGGAGGTGGCGCGTAGTAGCTCGTTATGTCGTCCATCGGAGTGCTGTTCTCTCCGAGTCTGAGTTTGACAAAGTAGAGAGAGAGAGAAAGAGAGAGGTGGAAGCCCTGAATTTTGGGTCGGATTACTTTAATTGTGATAAAGCATTGCGCTCAAATGGGCTCAGATTAGACACCGAACTCCATATGGCCCAAATTTGAAGGTTTAACCATATGGCCCATTGTATGGACCTTATAGAGGTCAGATGGCCCAGAAAATCAAAAGTAATAAAAATAGAGAGAATTTTAGTGAAGCAACTTCCCCCAAATCATCCCCTGTTTTCACGTATATTTCAAGGTTTTCGTTTGTGATTGCAAAAACAAGTTTTGAATTTGCATCACAGACCCAGTAGTCAGCCATTGACACTACATTCTAAGCTTCATAAGGACGAAAACAATAAAAATCTTGTTTCATTGCAATGAAAAATACGTAGAAGATGGTGATTACAATTCCTTGTTTCTGTTATTCTGAGATCACAACGCCATTTCTAATGCCTCCAGTTCTTCTCAACAGGCACACCCACTGCTTCTCTCTTGCCAAACACTGCCACACCACATTGTCCACTCAATCTTCAAGTCGAAGACGTTGATCTGAGATTCCTGGGTTTTAATTCTTATGGGATTATCCCCTTTTACTCGAAGCCAAATATACAGTTGATAAGCTTTTGTCAATAAACAGTTAAAAGCCACTAGATTCACTGTCCTCTGTCATGACACTCTCCTTGATTTCTAGAATCATTTTCAAAACTTGCCACATGGCCGGCCTCTGTTCAGGGGATGTAGTACTACAGATGCTAGCCACCTCAGTAAGCATTCCAAGTTGGTTACTATCCCCACCATCATCCTCCCTAACTATCCTTACCCATTCTAACATATCAGTTGGCTCAAGAAATGGGTGCTGTGCTGGATGTCTTCCTGTCAAAAGCTCCAGCAAGAGCACGCCGAAGGCATACACATCGCTCTTGTGGGTGGCATTCCGGCTGGACTTGCGAGTTTCAGGGGCTTGGTAGCGTGAACCATCAGGATCTTCACAACACTCAGCCAGAGCAGAAAGCCCATAGTCTGTGAGACAGGCCTCAAACTCTGCTCCAAGGAGGACATTAGTAGACTTTAAGTTGCCATGGATTAACTTAGAAGCTTGATGTATATAAGCAATTCCCTGAGCTAAATCTTCTGCAATCTTTAAGCATGATGTCCAGTGCAGAGGCTTAGCCCTTGCTGATCTTGAACCTGCCCACCATTACAGTTGGTGAGAAGTAATTAATTAAACCCAACTGATATATTTGAATTTGATTAAAAACTTCACAACCACGACCAGATTAACATTCCTACAAAGCTCTAAATATAATAATACGAGCGGTGCCCCAGGATTTCGAAGTAACCGGAACCAACCATGAGGTCAGATGTTGGAATTATTCATAAAAAAAAAAGTTCTGAAATGTTATTTGGACACTTCTCATGTAGTGATGTGCATCTACCCCCCGTAATCCACCAATATACTGAAATTTGGACTTAATTTACAGCCAAGCAACGATTTGGTCCATTTCTTGGCGTCATTGCAGGCATTGGCAAAGTCGCACATACAGCCAGAAGGATATTATTAAACCAGAGCTGTTACTGGAACAGTTTGGCAGAACCAGCCAGCATCACCGACTGATCTTATGGCAGACACAGATCTACTTTACCGTAAATAACCGCGTAATCCCACACCGAGAACAACAAAGAAAACATCTCTACATATTTTTTACCCCACTCGGACCCACCGACGTCGAGAATTTTCGAATTCGACTCGTGAACCGTGAACGCACTCGTGAATTGATCAAACCCAGAAAGAAAATTCAACAGCGAAATGCTTAATAAGTTAACTCACCGTGAATGAGGTTGTAAAGACTGCCATTAGGTTGGTAATCGTAGACCACTAATCTCTCTCCCCTGGCTTGGAAATAGGCCCTAACTGGAACCAAATTGGGGTGACGAAGCGCACCTACTGCTTCCAAATGCCGGTCGAAAACTTCGCTGCTCGTCGCGGCGGTCTTAGTAGCATCAAGACGCTTCACCGTTACGATTAGCTGGTTGCAGAGTACTGCTTTGTATGTAGTTCCCATTGTGCCTCTACCGAGCAGCTCGGCCGAAGCCCTCATTAACTGCTCTAAGCTGAACAACTCTGCCTCCCCTTCACAAAATATAAGACTACCACTCTTCTGGACTTTAGGTATATCTTCAATTTCTTTCATTTTGGCTTGAAGCTCGCCCTTTCCGTCGCCTCGGCCGTTGATTGCGGAAGCAGTGGAAAACGCAGTGTCGGTTTCGAAAGGCGGAATTTCCGGCTTCGACGCGGTTTTTTTTTGGGTTCTGGCAGCTACATAGAAACATAAAAGACCTGCTATTAAAACTGCGGCGCCGACTGAAAGTCCCACAATCAGACCGGTTTCCTTGTGCTTAACATGAGAGACCGGAGAGAGAAGTATGTCCTGTGACTGTGCGCTTTGGACGGAAGGGAGAGATGGTGGAGTAGCATTGGAAGCTTCAAAGAATGGAGCGCGTGAATGGCATGCCTTGTTGACGATCTCACCGCAGAGATCTGGGTTCCAGAAAAACGACGACGTGTTGAAACGCGACAGTGTGGGGGTAACTGGAATTTGCCCGGTCAGGTTATTCCCCGCGACATTGAAGACCTCAAGGAAGGACTGGTTTAATGGAGGAATACTTCCATTGAAACCATTCCATTCAAGCCGGAGAGAAATGAGCCGGTCCAAGGAGGAAAGCCTCACCGGAAGCGGACCCGTGAAGTTGTTATAGGAAAGGTCGAGAGTCTGAAGCCGGTGAAGAGTGAGAATCGACGGCGGAAAAGACCCAACAAAGGAGTTTCGGCCGAGGAAGAGAGATTTAAGGTTGAAGAGTCCGAATAGGTCAGGAATGGGCCCCTCGAGGGAGTTGTTATGCAGGCTGAGGATCCGAAGCTGGTCGAGCTGAGACACTGTATTTGGAGCCAATGTCCCTCGGAGACCAAACGATTGAAGAACCAGTCTAACAACACGACCCTGGACGCACTTCACGCCCTGCCATTGACAGTAATCAAAGCGCTCATTGAGAGTGTATAGAAGCTTGTTGTCCAAGTCGGCTTTGGACTTGAAGGACAGAAGAGAAACAGCGTCGGAAGGCAACCGCAATTCTTCCGGTGGGACAAGCGCAGGCGGCGGAATTTGAAAGGCAAATCCTGAGGCGGAAAAGGCGGAGAGAGAACACAGCACAACACAACAGAGAAGTGGAAAGGTTGTGAGGAATGTGGGTGGGTTGGGAATCATTATCCAGACCGGAGCTCCCAGCCGAGACGGCGGCGGAGAGTATGAAGGAAGTGGTGGAGAGACGAGAGGAAACGAGTGCAGCTGGCCCTTTTTGTATAAGGGACCATCTAGAGGTAATCGCGTGAGGTGTGTCGTACGGAGTGAAGGAAAATTGTTGCCAAGCGTTTGACTCCAATCACCACTGCAAATTCTAGTTGCATCAATTATTTTACTATTTTTCTTAAATTACAACTTTAATTACTTCATTTTGAAATTCTCTAAATACTTCTCTGATATAATTTTTTATTTTTTATTTTTATCTAAATAACTCTCTACCTTTTTAAGCTTATTTAAATTTTTTTAAAAAATAATTTATTGTAAGATATAAAAAGGTCAAAAAGTAACAAAGAGAAGAAGAGATGAGTGGTAAAATGAATCAAAATAGTGCATCACATGTGAGCGACCTCCAATACATTCTATTAGGAACAAAAAAAAAAAAAAAAAAAAAAAAAAAAAAAAAAAAAAAAAANAAATAATTTATTGTAAGATATAAAAAGGTCAAAAAGTAACAAAGAGAAGAAGAGATGAGTGGTAAAATGAATCAAAATAGTGCATCACATGTGAGCGACCTCCAATACATTCTATTAGGAACAAAAAAAAAAAAAAAAAAAAAAAAAAAAAAAAGAAAGAAAGAAAAGTTGTCAACAAAGACATGATTTTATAAAATATTATTTCTATCCTCTCTAGGTGTTATATTAAATAGTTAATTATTTGTTCTTTACCAATAATTTTAATAAACAGGATAAATATTGTGCAAAAGATTATTAAAACTCACGTAATAGGTCATTATATCATTTAAAATGCTTATGTTTTTCATTGTCAAAAATATTTATACACTTTACCAAAGAAAAAATTAAAAAAAAAAAAAAAAAAAAAAAACTTTCATTAAAGAAAAAGTCGAGCACTTTAAATAAAGCAACAGTATAACTTAGCAAGTTGGAAAACAAAATATAAAGACTCCATTCATTCAAATTATTTTAATGCTTTTGAAATCCTAAAAAAAAACCTTTATCAACGTCAAGGGGAAGTACTTTAATTATGACCAAAGTGTCGTCAAATATTATAAATATAAAAAATATATATATATTTATATAATAAACGTATAAATGAGAATAAGAGGTAGTAAAGTTTGGGTTGGATCATATAAGCAAATAGTATATTCCTTGTGTTGTTTCTTGATTCTAGTGTTCAAATGAATGATACAAATTTGGAGCCCATAATCTTGACACCATCAATATCTCATTCATAATTTTAACATTCCCAACAAATAAAGGACACCAATCTCCCTTTACAATCATGTCTACTTGACTATTTTTCCGGTATACTTTCAATAATATATTTTTTTAAATAACCAATTTCATATAAACAGAAACAAAATTACTTTTTTTTTTTTTAGAAAAAGGGTTAGTTTATTTTAGTTTATGGCGATGGGTAATTAATTAAATAATGACTTAGTTATTAAGTAATCGACAAGTGTAATAAATTAAATAAAGTGTGAAGTAAAAATATAAAATTAAAAAACGTCCTATATTTAGGTGGGCGGGTTGGGTTGGGTTGGGTTGCTAACCACATGCTGTGCCAAAACCATCCATCCTATCATCTCTCAAATAATCATAACATTATCATTGCCATAACTCATCCCACCAAAAATTCAATAATTCATCAAAATAATTCATTTAAATAATTTAAGATGAATAATGTTGGTGTTTACTACAAAAAGGGTTTTAAAAAACATCACTTGTATCCTGTTAGATGCTTTACAGCCCAATGGGCTACTGTCTGAAGCATTCGAAGGCCCTAATTTGTAAACAAAACTCCCCATCTCAGGCTTGGCTACATAAATATAAACATACTCGTTCTTAGTTTAGAGGTTCCTTGAGAAATAAAAAAGAAGGGCATAGTGCAGTAAGGTAAAGCGACATTTGGCTTGTAATTAGTTATTCTGTCCCTTCACCACTTCTCTCCGTTTGCTTATAACTCTAATCCAATTCCAAATTTACCCAAAAAGTTGTCCAAAAATGAAACCCAATCCCAGTAACACCAGGCTCATTCTCCTCCACCCTTACATCCACAAACAAGGCACCTCCTCCAAGATTTGGCTGCTCGCCTTCCTGTCCTTCTTCTCCCTCGCCTTCCTCCTCCTCCTCCTCCTCCTCTACACTCGCGCCTCCACTACTCCCATCGCTGCTTCCACTACTGTTGCCGCCTCTTCCATCGTCTCCACCTCCACCGCCACCCCTCTTCCCACCACCGTCATCAACACCCTTCTCTACTACGCCTCCAAATCCAATGACTCCTTCCACATGACCCACTCCGATCTCAAGCCCATCTCCGACGTCCTCCGAAAATGCTCCACTCCATGTAATTTCCTCATCTTCGGCCTCACCCAAGAGACCCTTCTCTGGAAATCCCTCAACCACAACGGCCGCACCGTCTTCATCGACGAGAATCGATACTACGCTGCCTTCATCGAAGAAAAACACCCCGAAATCGACGCCTACGACGTGCAGTACACCACTAAGATAACCGAATTGAACGAACTGATTTCCACGGTTAGAGAGCAGGTTCGGAACGAGTGCCGTCCCGTACAGAATCTTCTGTTCTCCGACTGCAGGCTGGGACTCAACGACCTTCCGAACCACGTGTACGATGTTGATTGGGACGTGATTCTAGTAGATGGCCCACGAGGGGACTGGCCCGACGCACCCGGACGAATGTCGGCCATTTACACGGCTGGGGTTCTGGCGAGGAGCAAAAAAGGAGGGAACCCCAAAACGCACGTTTTTGTACATGATTTTAACGGCGAAGTGGAGAGAGTCTGCAGCGACGAATTTCTTTGCAATGAAAATTTGGTGGAGGCCACTCATACGCTTGGACACTATGTGATCGAGCGGATGGATGAGAATTGTTTCCAATTTTGTCATAACACGACGACGCTCAGGTCCTAGGGGTTACTCTCTTTGCCAATAATACGGCGTCGCGTTTTTTTTTTCTTCAAGTGATTCATAATGTCGCTATTTTATTTATGTTATCAAAACATCTCTTTCATCCTTACTTTCAAATAAAAAAAAAAAAATCTTCCTCCAATGCAAAAACAACCATTTCAGTTCGCTTTAATGTTTGGTTTCCTTCCGACCCATCTCAATAATTTTAGGTTGGATTCTAAATACAAATATTAATCACTTTAATTTTATATCTAATAATTTTACTTTATTAAAACTCTCAAAAAAAACTTAAAATTTTAAAATTAGTATATATACATGGCAAAGGTGTTAAATAATTTTTGACTTAATGTGAGCCAACCTACTATGATCCTTGTAATTGTGGCTAATTAATACTTTGCATCAATAGTTCATTAATGCTAATCTCCTTGTTCATGTATAGTTGCACTAATTGTACCATGTAGAGTCACTATTTTACCTTTTCTTTCACACTTTTAATTAATGTGCTATTTCTAATTAATTTATCCTTCATTTTTAATTAATATATTAAAAGTAGTTAGTCGTTAAATTCAAGCTCTCACGACCTGTGGCTAACTGTAGATAACGAATTTCATAGACGAAAAAACTCATTGGCTGTTTTACTCGAGTATGTCTTGGTTCACCAAAAGTTGTTATAAGTTTTGATTTGTCTCGTTCCTTTAGCTCAAATTTTAGAAACATAGCAATTGTAACCAAGTTAGCAAACTGATTGAATTAAAATAATTGAATAAGTTAGAATCCTTAAAGAAAAAGAAAAGATTATCATTTACATTCAAATCATTGAAAGTTTTCATGAAATCATTTCGTTTACATATTAACAAACGTTGTAAGTACGCAAACAAATAATGTATTGGATACAATTATGAATAAATGTTGATTTGAAATGAAGGTATAGAAATTTGATTTAATGGGGTGTCTGTGGAGACCAAAATTCAGAGAAAAGTTGACGTTGAGACAAAGGCAAGGCTGAAAGAAACAAAGCCATCTAATGGGGGCCCCACATTGGGCACTACCAACCAATTCTTTTATGAATTCCCTCACCCAACCATTTTGACTTTTGCCTCCCTTTCTCCTCCCTCTTCTAATTCAAATTCCTTTTTCTGTAAAAATAAAATGTAATTTGACGGGACAACTAATGTGTATAAATGAAGACATTATAGTCCACTTGTTTCAAATTAAATTCATTGTTTAATTTTAAATTGTATCGATTTGTTTTAGTAGTTAGTCAACAAAAGTATTAATAATATCCAAGTTGATGAACATTATGGGTATTTTTGTAAGATGGTTTAGAGCAGGAAGTTGGCATGAAAATTAAGAAATTAAAAATGCTTAAGAAATGGAATGGACAAAGAGAATAACCAAAAAAAAGATCCAAATCCAGAAAAAGGAAAAGGAAAAGGAAAAAAAGGCATACCACTCCAACAAATACCAAATCCACAATCTTTACCTTCCTTTTTTTTTTTTTTTTTTTTTTTTTTTTTTTAATTTTTAATAATAATAGACAAATTCACATTGTCCAAGAAAAGAGAGATAAGAGAAGCCATTAATATATATTTATATATATATGATAAATAACGTGGAGAAAAACTGACCCTCAGATCTCATTAGAGATTAAGATGAAGGCGACGATCACGATGGTCTAAGAGGACTCGAGGATGAGAGTGGAGGGTTGGGGCAGAGAGAGAGTGTGATTGTGTTCTCCTTCGTAGGTCACCACTAGCATCGCCGGATCGTCTCCGGCACGTTCTACGTGTTTCCGGGCTGGGCAACCTCTCACGCTGCTACACTTGTAATAACCCCTGTTTTATTTAATAATTTAGAATCCAAGTTTGAAAAAGTCAACAATATGAGGGGAAAAAAAAGGGGTTAAAAGGATAAAAAAGAAAAAGAAAAATTGTTACCTGGGATGTGGAGAGCCTTTAATGGGCTTTTGACCATATTTCCTCCATGAATAGTCGTCCGGTGGGATATCCGCCATTTTCAAGCTTATCGCCGGAACCCTCACCACCCTCTTCACTCTCAGTTTTCTGCCAGCCAAAATTTTCTAATCCTTAATAATTATTTAAATTTTAATTTTTTCCTCCTAAAATTAAATGAAATTCCTAATCATTAAAGCTATGAAATGTGAAAGAGAGGGAAAGAG